ATATTGAGCAGCTTCAGCACGTCGTCTCCACCTCACTCACACACACACGCGCGCACTCTTCCTCTCATTCTCCCTTCATCCGTAGGTGCACCGATAGCCATTGAATGAGGACGAAAAGTTAAGAGATTAAACCAATATGAACCACCGTTGCTCGTAGCAGTGCCGTATCCAGCGCAGAGCATTATCCAGCGAGCATCCCCTCAGGAATGGAGTCCGTAAAACAAAGGATTTTGACTCCCGGCAAGGAAGGATTGAAGAATTTTGCTGGAAAATCGCTTGGCCAGCTCTACAGGTAAGACCGGTATCTTTTACAGGATTCTAATTCCCCCCAAAATTGGAAGCTTTTCTTAAGCGTCCATTGCTGCAGGAGGTAGAATGCTTTGGGGAGGTTAGCGGTGGCAGGGTTGGGAGCTGTTGTGATTCTGCTGGATATAATCTAGATCCTGGAAACTAGTGCTGAAGCTGCTCAATATGGCACCCTCGTAACTTCTCTATCTGATTCGTAGATGGTGTCAGTAAAGATGTAGTAAAAGATCACCCCACCTTTCTTCAAAAAAAACAGGATCCCATCTTGAAATCATAATCTGGAAAGAGCAGCAACCTGTATTTTTGTTCCATCATAATTTTGCAATGCACTCACAGGATCTTGCCCTCTGGCCTTAATAGTTATTAAATATATATATATATATATATATATATATATATATATATATATATTTTCTGGTTTTGATTAGTCTTGTCCTTTGTGTAATTCATCATCAGATGAAAGTAAACATGGAGATGTATAAATAATTGATATCAAAACGATTTTTTTCCTACTGAAGCTGAAACATATAGAGGAATGTGTTTAATTATTCATCCATATGCCTTTAGAAGCATCTGCTTGTCCTATAAATGATATACCACTGCAATTGCTGAACTCAAAAGCACCACTCCTGTATATTTCTGTGTGTAAAGAATATTTCTGTCATCGTGCACACAGATAAATAAACTCAGATTTTTGCATACCTAAGAAGTGCAGGCACTAAAATTCACACATCATTCTCCATCCAATCTGGTGATTTTAGTGACCTCCACAGCGTTTGAGAATAATATGTGAAATTACAATAAATTTTCGATTGTACCTTCTGCTAGAAATTACCCCGAAATATTTGGTCTGGTTTTGGGTGTTCTGTTAGTTTGGACTGGGTTTTGGTTGTCTATGTGTGTGTGTGTGTGTGTGTGTTTTGTTTTTTTGGGTTTTTTTTGTGTGTGGTTTGGGGGGGGTGGGGGGTCGGTGGTTTGTTTGTTTGTTTGTTGGGGTTTTTGTTTGGTTTGTGTTTGTTGGTTTTTGTTTTGGTTTGGGTTTTTTTTCCGAATTGCAGCTATAAGGTAACTGCGGATTTGTCTGCCCAGGGTAGGTCACGTAAAAATCTTTTTTCCATACCTATGCGGCAGTGCTGGGCACATACACCAGGCTGTTTCACAGCATGAGTCACAACTTCTGCTGCCATTTTAAGGGAAGGGGACATATCAGTGAAGTGATAAAGACAAAATTAAGGTTTCCATTTTCATAGGAAGTGTACCATTAAGAAAAGTCATTAAAGTTATCAACAATGCAATTAATTTCCTACAGTTTTTGGTTATATTTAAGTAATTTTTAATTGCTGAAAGCTAATAATAATAAAAAGAAAAACCCAGAATAACTGCTTAAAATATAATTAAGGAATTAAACCTCTTTTTTTCCATTCTTAAAGGCTTTACAACATTTAAATAAAGCTACTATCTCTACTACTTGTAGTCACACAGTGAATAATGGAGAAACGGTGTTTGTATTTTCCAGCAAAACTCCGTTTGAATTCACACCTCGACTAACAAACTCGCGATTTGCTAATTTTTTAAGCTCAAGGCAATTAAGTACTTGTTTACTCTTCTTAGAATCTAAATAATTTTTTTGCCTCTTTCGCATTGATTTCCAGCCTATTCCCGAAGACAAGACACCCATTCAGAGAGAAAACACTCCTACTCTTTATCCACACAAACGAATTTTGAACATAAACCCACGGTGGTTTATTTTATTCACAACTTTTAAAATGTTTCTTAATGCCGCGATCTTTAAGCATGGAAATTACATGCTCAGAAAAATCAGGAAAATTTAATCTGAGTAGCTTTTGGAGAAAATCCCTATATTTTCTCCCGAGCACGGATAACCTTTTAAGCCTTATTCTGCTACTTGTTAGTGCCCTATCAGCTGGATGAGTTAACCTGAAAGAGATGCTCCTCCGAGTGATAAAGCCCTTCTACAGCAGAGGTGAGATCAGCGGCTGTAGAGTCCAGAGTATCGGCAAATGGTCACATTGCTTCTCAATACGACATAATTGGTTAGCTTTTCTGGTTTTTAAATATCTCAGTGACTTCAGAAGAAGGTTTAGGGATTCAATATAGGACACGTGCTCTATAAAACTGATTTTTCTTGCTACCGAGACAGCATTTTAAAGAATTTTCCACAAAAAAAAAAATTTTAAAAAAAAAAAGTTCTAAATCACCTTTCATGGTATTTTTCAGCTGGTTGGAAATAGCTGCAAACAACATTTCCCTTCAGATTGTTTTCTAGGAAACACCATTTTCAAGTAAAACCGAGGGAGTGAGAGCAAGGGGGCAAGGAGGTAGCGCTTAAAGCTGCTCTGGGAAGGTTAAACCCGTTAAGTGATCACACACTCACAACGTGCAGCTGAGCACTGAGGTCTTTGGGAAAGCCTTCTCCGGAGATGCCAGTTCTTGGCTGTGTTTTCTTTCACTGCATGTGACAGCCATTTTGCAAATCTAAAATAAATAGCAATATCGCACTCTCCTCCTCGCTCGTCCCTCCCATCATTTTCGCTTAACATTTCTTTTTTTTTCCCAGACCTAAAGCGAGGTGCACACCAAGATCGCTCCCTTGGTGCTTCTAGCACAGCAAGGAGGTAATAAAACCTCTAGAAGCCCGTTTCTGTTTCTGCGCCTCTTGGGCTGCCCAACATGGCGCCTCTGCAGTGGTTACAGATGATGTCTTCTTGATACGTCCTACATATTTAAGCAGAAGTCTTTAATGATAGATGAGGAATTCTCAGCTAGAGCTCCTCCCTGGGCTGCTGCGGAGGGGTGGCGGGGGGAGTTGAGGATGACTAATCATGACTCCCACAGGTAATTGCTAAAGAACAGTTGAAGGTGAATGGGAAGCAAGGAATAAATCCTCAATCTCCAAGCCAAAGGAGTGAGAGGAACGGTGAATTTAAACCTCCAGCTCCCCGAAACTGTTGTGCCTTCAGACGGCCAGGGTTTGACTTTCCCTTCTTGTGTCGGGCAGAGTCCTAGAGAAGAGGCAGAAGCCCGGGGACACCATCGAGCTGACTGAAGATGGAAAGCCCATGGAAGTGCCCGAAAAGAAAGCCCCGTTGTGCGACTGTACCTGTTTCGGGCTGCCCCGGAGGTACATCATTGCCATCATGAGTGGATTGGGATTCTGCATTTCCTTCGGGATCCGATGTAATTTGGGAGTAGCCATCGTGGATATGGTCAATAACAGCACCATACACCGAGGAGGAAAAATTATTAAAGAGGTGGGAGCCTTTCTCTCGTAAATCTCACATCCTCCCAGTACAACACTCAGTGAAACACCTCAACACAGGTGGGACAGGCTCTGGATGGTTTCGCCGTATTTCCCCCCACCTGAGTGCCGATGCTCCCCGGTCCCGGGGCTGGCGGCCCCCCTCCCCCTGCCCTGCCCCGCTGGTGCCCTTAAAAGGACGGAAATCCCGTTCTTGACACACAAACAATTTCTACCGATTATTTCTACTTTTTCGTTTCAGTTTCTAGACCCAGTTTGTGGTATTATTGTGCGGGCAATTTGCCCCTCGCCCTATCTTTTTCACACAGCCTTGAAAAAGGCAGATATCTCCTAAAATAAACGTAGGGGATGGGAGAAGGAGGGTATCGAATAAGGGACTGACAGCGGGTGTACCTCACCTTTAAGGAGGCGGAGAGGTTTTGCAGAAATATTTGAAAACACCAGGGTGAATTTGCTTTGACAAAAGGCTTTAAATTATAGAGCCGTTTTAAAGCGAGTTAATAGTGTGGTGAGAAAGATGTGACAAATGCAGATGAGTCTTAAATACCCAAATTCACAGATAAACGCCCCTTACGGCTCGCTGGCCGCACAGGCAAGAGGTGAGTTCGGGCTGTGCGCCTCCAGCCCCTGGCTGCGCAGGGCTGTCTGTGAGCCGGGGGTCCCGCGGGTCCCAGGGATGCCCGGCTCTGCCCTGCCCGACCCCGTGATCCGTGCCTCGGGGTCCCCCTGCCCCTCTCGTGTCCCAGGGAGGCACGGACGGTGGTGGTTCTATTGCTATTACTGGGTTTGTTTTGCCTATCTGGCGGGCAGTCCGAGCGTTTGCCGTGGGGGGCCTGGGCAGAGCCCGGCGCCGGCACCGGAACCCTTTCGATTGCGCTACGGGTAAAGCTGCTGCTGGTGAAAGCTCTGAGTGGCACAATTACAGCCTTCCTCCTGTCTTTTTCTCTTTCTTTCCTGGTCCTTTGCATTGGAAGAAAGCGAAGTTTAATTGGGATCCCGAAACAGTTGGCATGATCCACGGCTCTTTTTTCTGGGGATACATAATCACCCAGATCCCCGGAGGGTATATCTCATCCCGACTGGCAGCGAACAGGTAAACACCGCCTAAATAGCTCCAAGCCCCGTCCGAGCCCGAGCCGGGCCGGGCTGCGGAGCGGCGGCGCGGGGGGAGCGGAGTTGAGCTCCGGACCGCCGGGGCTCCCCTGCACCCCCGAAACTTAACCCCCGCTCAAAGGGACTACCTTAGGAAGGGAAGGACCTCTTGCATGCGATCCGGGAACTCCACTGTGATGGTGCATTGCTCTCCCTCCTTCAAGCAACCCCCTGGTTTTGCGGGGGTATCTCATGTTGGTTTCTTTTTCCCTTAGACAGTCACTTAAGGAGGTTGTAGCAATGATGTTCAAACAACACATATTCAGAAGCAAGTTCAAAAATACATTATTTCATCAAGGGTTGAGATTTATTTTTTTTTTTTACTGTGATTGAATTAAAGAATTTTATGATTTTTCTTTTAATGGAAAAGAAAACCGTCAGCAGAAATTTTACATTAAAGCATAAATTAATTTAGAATGGTCGAAAAACATGTTTAAATGAGACTTCCACAATGAAAAGAAAGTGCAGATGGTCCGGGGACTTAAGGACTCGTTTCTATGGTGTCTGGCAATTTTTCAAGCACCCAGGGTGCGATTCTACCTGTTAATTAGATCCACTGAGTATTCGAGACACATGAGGCTTTCACATCGATGTTTAATGCCACAGGCTCATCATTTGCAGAAGCAGCAAAGGTCCTAGTGCCACTCTTCAAACCAGTACCACACTAAGTGCAAATGGATACTAAACTCAGCCATATATACCTTTAACTCTTCTCAGGATGGGCAACATTAACGGTAAGCCTGGATGGGCAGAGAGGCTTAGCCTGAAGAGCAAGATGGTTTATGTGTGCTTGAGACTGAGAGGAAGGAGAGAGTGTGGCTAAAGCAAAAAATGGTCTCCTCTAGACAAATATCTTTTAGACAGATCTACAGTAGAAACGAGTATTTACAAAAGGAGAGATGCTCTGTAACTGAGAAAATCACTAATATCCTGCCCTTAAAAACAAATAAATCAAACCACAATTTTTAAACTGGGGTATCCATTTGTCTTTCTGTTTACAAGTGCCATCTTTCTGATAATGGCTCAGAAATGTAAAAGGCTTTTTCAAATAGCCATTAACAGCTATTTAAAGGGGTTTACCTTTTCTTCCTCCTTTAATTATTTTTGTATATTTACACAGTCTGTAGCTCCTCAGGATTAACTGGAGTTTTGGTTGAGTAAAGGCTGCAGAATCTGACCCAGAAAATCAAAAGCTGTCTTCATTCACTCAAACAACATCAGAAAAGCTATTTGAACCAATTCAGATGTAAAGTGATGCAACTACAAATTTGCAAGACAATGGCTGGGTCATTGCCAGGAAAAGTCAGTATTGCCGGGAAGCACACAATTTGTGTTCAAATCAGATTTTTTCTCTTCACAAACATTTACATTTATGACAATAACTGAGGACTATCCCAGTTAAGCTAGACGTATTTTATCTAGTTAGGTATTATTCCTGTGGAAGCACTTCATGCCTCAGGCATCTCTCTGTCTATATATTCTGTAGGGAACCCGGGTTACTTGGGGTATCTGCCCCAAGTGGTGTGATGAAATCCCTTCTTTTCTTTTTGTCTTTTTCACAGTCAAGTCAGTGACTAACCGGATTAGTGATATTTACCACATTGGGAGACTGATGATTATCTGGCTAGAGTTTATGAACCTTTCAAAGATTCAGATATTTATGATACTGCTTAGATTTGCTGTGGTCTTCACATTTCATCAGTGATTTGGGAATATGTATAAATGCTGGTAAACTTGTGGGTAGAAAAAGATCCAGCCAATCAGACAATATATTAAATTTTTGATTGACTGAATGCTGTTCAATATATGACACTTGAGTACAAAGTAACACCAGAGAGGGAGGGACCACTGAAAAGCAGACTCACTGAGTGGTATCTTAAGCCATGTGGGACTAGAAACACATCACAAGCTTCCAGCATAATGCTCTACTAAAGTAATCAGTGTAATCCTAGAATGTTTATTTTTCTTTATTTAGTGCAATGAGTGTATTTAAGTCAATGATGTTGTTCTTGGATTTTTGTGGGTAATTTGGACACATTCATATTAGTGTGGGCATTGAAAAATTAGAGATTCCTTTAGAGATCTTTAACTGCTTCAAAAATGACAGTATAAAGTGATGCCTAGTGAAAGAAACAGCAAGAACTATGTATTCAGGACACATGTATATAAAAATATTGCTAGGAGGTAATCTGATTGTAAGTATGCATATAATTTCACTGGAAAAATTGCTTGGTATAAGTATATCCTTTAGTCCTCTGGAAAGAGATGACAAGAATCAGCAATTGATAGCCATATCAAAAAAATAAAGGTTAAATAGTAACAATAATGACTACCCACCACGGGTCCGACCAGAGAAATTATGTGATAGTTTTTTTTCATTGTTTTCATTGTTTAAACTGTTTCATTATATTTTAGCTATTGTTAAATGTTTGCAGTAGAGTGATAATTAAGCAAAATATAAGGGATAATCAAATGTTAAAGGCTGTTGCCATAGTGAATTTCAGGCTACATGGTCCTATTAGTAAGCACGTCTTGTTTTTAATCTAGAAATTTAATAATTTAATTCAAATTGATATTCCTTATTTCACATTCATGCTACTGCAGCTGACTGTGAATAAAATACCTGCTGTGCTGTCACACACACATGGAAAGGTATGAAACTACTTGGTTTTATCACCTCAAGATAATTTAAATATTATATTTTAAGCTTCTGATACACCCTTTAAATATTCTCTACTTTGGAAATCTATAACAAACCCCTTGCCCTACAAAAAGCAGTACTAAAATGCTGTGGCAGTATTTCCTTGCTGATTTCCTAAGTGAACTATTTAAACATTAACTGTAAATCAGGAAAGATTCTCTGAAATTAACAGGGCATTGTTAGATTACACAACAGAGAATCAATTCCTGATGCAGTTATATATTTAAAACAGAAATGCTAGTTTTCATATATTTAAAACAGAAGTGCCAAGCATTCTTTCAAAAGTAAATCTGCAATAATCACAGACTATTTTTTATAAAACATAGCTGAGTGACCATTTTAGCTCATTTGTGTATACTCACACATAAGAACCTTCTGTCACAAAGAGACACAAAGGAATAGAATACCAATTTTTAAAAAATATAAATCACCTGTGGTAATGACAGATTTCCTCTTATCTGTCAAAGCTCAAATCCTGGCACTATTCACATTAAAAAAATGTAACTACATGACTATACTACATTTCTCTATAATGCAATTCTCTCTGATCTATGTTGAACTCAGTCATAGTCATTCTAATCTGAATGAAATTATACAAATTAACATTTCACTTCAAATTAATCTTTGTTTCTCAAGTGCCATTCTTCTTGTTATTAAAGGCTAAATCCTTCTTCCCAGCAAGAAATCTGATAGGATTATTTGTGTGAATAAAATTAATGATATTTCAGACAACTCTCAGTGCATCTTGTCTCAGATTCCCACAGATTTTCACTGAAACTGTCATTAGCATGTCAGTGAAATCAGAATCTCTCTTAACTCAGCTTTAATGACAGCAAGCATAACAATTTAAGGTAAAGTATTGGTTTAGAAAGAGGAATTGTTCCATTCTTTTAGCAGGTAGGCATATTGTGTGTTTTCTGTTTTGCAAACAATGATTAATTCACAGCATGAATAGGGGATTAGTGGATGATTAAACAAGTGCCAATTTCAGAACTTCTGTGGACTTAAGATGACCTTGCATTGTGAGAGAAACACCTCCAGAGCTGAACTTAACAACCCCACCTTTCATACTCAGTCCAAAATCCTGCAGACTGAACTGGTCTCAGATCCCTGGCACTGGTGTGGGGCTCATCTGTTTCCAGGCAAAGAAGCCAATATTGCAAAAAAAACCCCAAGACTATTTTTTTCACCCTACTGCATTGCAGATTCTTTTAAGTACCAGTCTTTACAAGAAGGGGACTGGGGAAACTGGTAGCTGGAACTGCTTTTCCCTCTGCCATATGGTTCAGGGTTCTTCCATTTTTCTGTCATGAATGATGAAGCTGTTTTCACAATTTAATGATGCAACGAGGGATTTAGATGGGGGTTTTGCTTGATAAAAGGGGGCCTCAGATGTGTGACAAAAATTAATAATGTATCCAAGCCCTTATTATACTAGATTAGATGGCGGGAGGTCGATTTTTACATATTAATGCTTCATGAAGGGCTTATAATAGGATTTAGTATGAAGAGCACAGAGACACATCCCCCTCCTCCCATATACACATGTGAATGAAAATAACCTGTTTTATCTTGATTTAAGAAAGCCAAATAAAGCTGTTATACTATGGCTTCTGGCCACAGACTGTTTTTAAAGAGGTTCTGTTTTAAGCAATTCTCCTATGAAGCATGCTCAACCTAGGACTGGTACTTGGGAATAAGTGTTCATCTCTAATGGCAGAGGTAGATTATTCTCTCTGCTTTTTTGGGCAGCTGGGTTCATCTACCACTCCAATTTTCATGGCATAATCCCAGTTTTTTTAGCCCTATGTTGTTTTATGCAAATAAGGGCCCAATTCAGGAAAAACCACTACATTCTATCTATCATTTAGGAAAACAAATTTTCAGAGTGAGCATTTCACAGGGATATGTTTACAGTAGAGGGGTCAACAGAGTCATAGGGGAAAATCGCCTGTACTAGACAAAAGTCAGAATGACTATATGCCACAGAATAGCTAAACAATATCTCCCCATAATGGCTTAAATTCTACTTAGTTATTTTGAAGTACATAAACATCAGTAAAGGTTATCCTAAGAAGGGTTATCAGTGTGATTACAGACTGAAAAAGACAACTAGATTAAGACAAATATTATCAGGAGTATACAAAGGTTACAAAGGAGATGAACAAGTGACATGATAGTTATATAACTAAAAAAAAAAATCAATACAGGTAGCATAAGTCTTCCAAAGGAGTGGTTAC